AGATTTTATTTTTGTAACAAGGGTTCACATTTCTATTCTAGTATCCTTAGAGTTCACATATCCGAGTATAAAGATAAAATTTTTGTGCGAAATGTATGAATATGCATCCCAATTTTAATTCAAACACATTTTTATTCAATTGCTTTATTGTGTTTATTCATTTTTGTTATCCTTTTTAAGCAATTATTTATTTATTTCTTTACGTTATTATCTATTTTCTATAGATTTAAAGATAAAACCTTTAGGCACAAACACATTTCTCAAACATCTCGCATAAAATGTCCCTAAAATTTCTTTTTTGAGTTTAATCCTTTAAGTGAACTAAAGCTTATGATTTGTTTACTAAAAACACCAGTAAACACATATATCTTAGAATTTTCAAATTAAAGTATAAATCACGATAGGTAGAATTGACACTTCCATAAGTATTTTGCTTACTCCTGTTTGGCTAAACCTTTGAGTAGTAGCATGTTAGTGTATATTAGCACTTTCATAACTGATCAAATAAATAGATAAGATAATCATAGTCTAACAAACAAATGAATTAGCTAAAAATTAGACAATTAGTTAAGATACATATAAAGAATTTTTTAAGCAAACAAATAAAAGACATGTTAGAAAAAAGGACGAACTCTAATTAAAATAAACAAAATAGAAACAAAAGAAATAAAAATAACTCTTGAAAGACTTCTTCGTATGAGATCAAAAATGTCACAAAAACATATACACAAAAACAAAAGAAAACACAATTGTTATAAAAGATAAAATAGATCTGATATGAAAGAAAACACAGAAATAGAAATCAAAAGAGAAGATAAGCATACATGATACTGTGAATGTTAGACAAACAAATATTAAAGTCCAATCATGTAAAAAAGCAGAAGATAAACATGTTCAGTATAAGCGAGAGTGAAAAAAAAGACGAAAACATGAGCAAAATAGACAAAACAAAAATGAAAAGGCAAAAGGCAAACATACTTTTCCAAATAAAAAGTAAGATGAAAACAAACTCAAAAAATGATTATGTGAGAGAGATAACTTGGTGGATGCAAAAACCTTCAGCGGTGGCTTGTTTTGAAAATTAGAGTTTTCTTTATGAGAGAGGAAGTGAAATGAAATGGATGGAGGAATAATGTGTAAGAAATGAGAATGAATGAGAATCCGAGAGAAGAATCGTTTAAGGTTAAGTGACAAAGCCTTTCAACTCTAAAACGAAATAGTATGACATCAGTTAAATACATATAATTAAATAAATTAAAATCAGATCGGTTCGGTTTATTATGGTCCATATATATGTTGATCAAAACCAACCCTAACTTAACCACACACAAAAAAATTGACTGGGCCAACCAATGGATCCGTCAGATCGAACCGACCCAATTGAATTTCTTAATGCACACTAGGTAGTTCAGCACCAAGCGAAATTATTTAAATGCTCCTAGATTACGGAGATGCATCTCCGGACGCACCTATTCCTGAATAAACGAACATATTCTAGAGATACATCTTCGAAACCATTTTAAACATTCAAAATATGTCACTCAAAAACCATTTACATTTGAATTGTTCCTGGATGCATTTCCGATAATATTCTGGAGATACATCTCCAAACTGTATCAGAATGGGTGTTTTTCACAATAAGTTGTGTGTTTGTTTTTAGATGAAGTATGACACACGATCTCGAATAAAAAAGTAGACGTACAGAATAATAAGAGACTAATACTGGGTGTGTTGAAAATAATATAGCAACATATGTAGAAAATGTCGTACAATCGAGATAAAAAATGTAATAAAACCATAAAAATAAAGTAAATAACATAATACTACAATAAAATAATAACAAACTAGTACTGTGTGTGTCTGATAACATCTCTTCTACCTCCTCTGCCTGCTCTTCCTCCTCAGTAATCAATTTCATTGTCCTCCGGCGATGTCTCCGGTACAACAGTGCCTCTTGTGTCTCTGTCATAATGGCATACAGGATTCACCTAACACTAGCCACATCAGGGAAGATACCCTCGTCAATGCCTGCCCGCATAATTTCCACTATGCGACGACACTTATGCAAGAAATCATAAATATCATCTAGCTGAGCCTACTTCTCCTTTAGTATCTCCCGATGAGCTGGTCTTTGCGGATCTCCTGGAGTAGTTTGCACCATGTACAAATGTGACACTCTAAAGAACCATGTGATGTACCCTCGACGTAGCTTCAGTCGTTCGGGGCTATGGTAGCCTGCGCCTCCTCTGGAACCAGATGAATCTCATAATCAACAAACATATCTTCTATCTATCTATGAGTCAAGGCAGGAGGAGTAGAGACAACAAGTTGTTTGGGGATGATCCAGGTATATCCGGACTGCTGCATGATGCGCTTAGGCAGATGAGGAGCAGTGGTACGCGATTCGTAGGCCAACCATATAGAGTATAACACTATCTCGTCAAATGGTTGCAGTTGACGGTGATCTGCATAGTTGTTCAAATGCATGTCCTCAACAACTAAATGATCAAGATAGACTCTGAAAGGCTCGATCGTTTGGTTCCTTCTAAGCGGGAGAAAAACACATGCACATGGCATATCCTCAGTGTACTCAAGCACACTCGCCTAGCCAGCAATGCGCGGGAAGTGCTGGAGGATCCAAGTCTGAAATGAAAATTTTAAAAAAAACATTCAAGGATTAATAATTATCGGCAATCATTTCGCAAACATGAAATGAAAATGACAAAAAAAATTTAAGGATCAAGAATTATTACCACTAGTAGTGTCACGCTGCATGTGACCTACCTCGTCTTCCACCGACATCCCTATTTCAACTTTGAATAAAGATAGGCAAGGCAAGTTGACCCCCAGTTGTACTCATGGATCCGCGTGAGATCCAAGAAGTATCGGAGGTATGCAACGTCAGTATAAGTGACACTCATGTCCACAAAAGTGAAAGTGCCACCAAAAAAAGAAAGTATGCCCTTAAAGCACGAGCCCTGTGTACCGCTACCTGCTCAACATCAACATGAGCCTATTGTGAACTAAGGATCTCATCATCATATATCTTTTTCAGGAACTCAAATCTAGTATGAGCATCCCTGGTCCTATACACCTTCTCAATCGTCTTCTCTAGATCATCCCCTAAATGCTCTACCATCATCTCGACTGCCTCGTCTTTGGTCATCCTCCCATGATCGAGGAATCTTCTCCTAATCGAAAGATGTAATAAACACGAAACATCGTCCAGTGTGATAGACATCTCACCATGCGGGAGATGAAACGAAAAGGTCTCAGAATGTCATCTCTCCACGAATGCATTAAGCATTCCGTGGTTGACCAAAGTCTAACTGCTTATGCATAGGTCCTTCAGGCCAGATAATAACAGAACTGACTGAAACCAATCCTCCACCTGCTTAGAAAATGCAACAATCTTCCTCCCATAGTTAAGAAACTGCTGGGGATCACACTCTTAAAATTTGCCATAAATAATCAATGTCAGAAATAATTAATGTCAACAATTAAAATTAACGTAAAAAATAAATAAAAAATCCAACTGATGCTACCTCTACGTCCCAGATATGTTTGGCAGTGTGCTCTGGATACAGAGGAAGTAAGGACAAATCAGATGGACCTCCTCCAAAATCCCCTGGCTCGACATCCTCAGCAACCTCACTCTCTGAAGGCGACACTTGATCAACAACATCATCAATAGAAGGTTGGTATCGATCGACAACATCATCTGTAGGAGGTGACATTAGTGAGTCTTGGCTCCTACGGGAGGATGGGGGAAGTGATGCGTCAGATAGTGAATCATGTCTCCTATGGGAAGAAGAAGAAGGTGGAGTGGCCTGAGATGAAGCACGAGCCCCAAAAGTAGACGTCGCCCAGAAGTAGACACCTCTGTCTGACCAGAGGTACCTAGAGCCTCCAGAACCAGTTGGTTCCGCTCCCGTCGAACAGATGCGTGCTGAGCAACCCGACTATATCTCAGTCTGTCAACTCTGTCAGCCATTATTTCTGTAAGGTAAAGTAACACATATCATTAGTGCACGGGAACAACACACAACCAAGAAAATTAAAAAAAAAATATTATAGGAAATTTCGGAGATGCATATCTAGAAACACCATAAAATTATAATGTTGAACAATTTCAGATATACTTCTTCAAAAACACCTTAAAATTACAACGTTGAACAATTCCGGAGATGAATCTCCGAAATTTCTCAAAATATATGAAATGCTGAACAATTTCAGAGATGCATCTCCGGATTGTTCTACAACACAGAGGTCATCTCAATGGCAAATGTACCTCTTGCAAGTTGAAAAAAACATGATCTATCGTCATTTTCAGCCAACAAACAAGTTGTACACTAAGTCTAAACTATGTTACATGCGATTCTTACACATTTCTAACCCTACTCATTGATTTCTACACATTTACACTAAAACTCAAAATTGATCGAAAACTCGAAAAACTTACTCGAAATTAATGATTTAGATGTCGTTCCCAATATTAGGGATGATCTTTGAGTTCTTTATACTCTTGTTTGATAAAATTTGATTTGGTGTAAGGTTGTATTTACAAGAGTGTTGAAGTTGTGTGTTGAAGAAAACTGTCAAATGAGGAAAGAGAAGAGTATTACGTGACTTATGTTCCAAAATGTTTCGAAAATATATCTCCAAAATATTTAAACGTTCATTTATATTTATATTTAGGTGCGTCCTAAAATATATATCCAAAAGTAAAAAACATTTATGAAATTTCTCTCTTTTTATTTTCTTACGGTTTTCTCAGTTTCGGATCGGATCCGGCTCATTTGTCCATTCGAGAGTGTTGTTGGCATTCTTTTTGAAAAGTCTGTTTTATTTTCATATTCATTTCCCAAAGCAGGTTCTCCAACTCACCCATGTCCATTATTCAAACAACTCGGTCATTGATAGTCAACTTCAGCTCTCTCAAATTTCACCACTCAACGCTACTCTTCTTCACCCTGCAATATCTTCTTCTCACATAATCAATGCCTTTCGATTTGTTCTTCTGGCTTCTCATTTGTTTCCCTTTCAATGTTGCCCTTTTGGCCTCAGCTTTCTACCAGGTTTTTCACTCTTTTCAGTTTCCTCCCCCATTCAATACAAAAAGATGTTTTTTTTCCCTTCGCACTGATACTTAATTTAACTTCAATCTATGTTTTTCCCCTTTTTGGGTTTTTAGGTTTTGATGTTATCTGACTTAGAAGCTGATTATATAAACCCTTATGATGCTTCATCTCGAATCAATTACTATGTGGTTCCTGAGTTTATTGCTCAAGGATTATTTTGCGCTCTCTTTCTCTTGACGGGTCACTGGTTCATGTTTCTTCTTATGCTTCCACTTGCTTCTTATCATGGGATGCTGTAAGTGCAATTTTTGAACACAAACTCAATAATGTGTTGTGGTGCTTAAATTATATTGATTGAATGCGTTATATAGTGTTTATTTCTGCATTGCTTCCCTGCTTTATGTATATGTTTGCTTAGGTTAAGTTTTTTTATTGGGGGAGAGGGAAGTATAGGAGATTTGTGACTTTGGTCAAGTTTGGATTAGCTTCTAAAATTGTCGGTTAAAATAAGTTGAAAAAGTAGTTATCACTTGAGCTGTGTTTGCATTGATGGATTAGAACGAAGTGGAATGAAATAAGATGGAATAGAGTTGAGCGGACCAAAATGAAACATATTTCATTCCATTGTTTGTGTATTTTTTATAATTTGACGAAAAGGAATAGAAAAAATTTGTTCATTCCATTGCATACACCCCAAATTGGGGAACTAAAATTGAAGGATTGGATGGAATAGATTCCATCAAGCTCTATTCCGCTCCATCCATTATTTGTTAATCCAAACAATGGAATCTAATTATATACCACTCCATTCCATTCCATTTCATCACATTCCACCCATTCAAACATACCCTCATATGTGTGTATGGACAAGTTGTAACAGGCTCATAGTTACTGATAACTTGTAACACTGTTGGGTATGGCTCATAGCTACTGATAAGTGGGTGGTCAGTCGAGAGTATGGTTCAGGGTTGTACTCTGTATTATAAACCTCAAGATATTTTTGCACTTAGAGAGGTAGACACAATTGGCCGAACTTCGTGATCAAACATCGTTTCTTTCAAATCTTTTCACTTTTGAATCAGATTGCTGTGCTACCATAAATATTGAGACGTAGAAGTTAATTTTGACTTTACAGTTAACTGTTTTATTTTTTTAACTCATTTTGTTATTTTGGGGTTCATGTAATATCCTTTTCATAAGTATTTTTAAAAAAGTTTATCCAAACTAGCAGCTCTAAAGCCTGGTAGGAGAAAAAGAGAGTGTGACTGAATGTGTCAATAAAGCACCTTTAAAAGTTTCAATTTAGGTACTCTACCAACTCCAATCTAAAGAATCTCAGTACTAGTTGAGCTATGGTTCAGTGGTTGCTAATGCAAGATTTTGCTTTGAAAATTGTAAATGTGAACCTAACAAGTTTTTGAGATTTTTTGTTATTTATCTTGCATAAGTTACAAGCCTGAATCTACTTTGTTTTATTTTCTCTTTTATTTCCATCAGGATCTATTTAAAACTTCATTCTTGCATATAACATTTTAATTATTTTCTTCTCTTAAAATGTTGGATTATTTATGTCACTTAGATGAAATTTTATAAACTCTTGTTTTGGTTATACTAAGGTTTCTCTCCCAATTATTTGGTCTTACTAGTTTGTGCATTTGAGCTTTTGATTTGTATATACCTTATTTCCTGGATATTGAATGTGCCAACAAAATGACTTATGGTGCATGCGAGATAACATAGCTAGTTTCAGGATTGAATAGTATCTGATTTATGTTGTGTATCTATACTTACTACCAATACATTTTAGGGACTTTTAAATATTTAAAAGTAAATTATAATGAAATGAAAAAGAGTTAGTTAATGCACTACAGAGCACATATTTTGTTCAGTACTTCCTTACATAAAATCATATGTTCTATAGTCAATTTATTATTGTTCCATTTCAATGAATCAGGTATGTTAAGCGGCAGCATCTCCTGGATGTTACTGAAGTGTTTAGGGTACTCAATGCTGAGAAGAAATTTCGGATAGCCAAACTTGCTTTTTACCTAATAATGGTTATTATAACTATCTTCAGGTATACACTTATGTACCTGTGTTTTGGGTTTACATTATTACTGCTTAACTTTGTGTCCATTTATTATTACAATGTAGGCATATCATTAGGATTCATACTGCAGGAAGAATATTATTTTATACTTCTAAGTTTGAGTAATTAGATATTTGTGCCCTTGTTCTAAAATACTAATTAAAAAAGATAATTTCTTAATCCAGTCCTTGATACTCTTAGCCACTTAACGCATTTTCTTTTATGCCCTTTGCTTCCGGAGCTATATCTCTTGACGCACCCTTTTTTTTCTTTACGTTGGATGCTTCTGGAGACACATTTACGATCTCCGAAATCTTATCAGAATAGATTTTTTTAAAAAAAAATCTAGTTTTGTTGGTCGCAGATGGAAATTAACCGTTGCAGATGAATATAAAATAACATACATCCGTAAATAAAATAATATATATATATATATATATATATATATATATATATATATATATATATATATATATATATATATATATATATATATATATATATATATATATATATATAAGGAGTCATATATCATAAACATCATTAAAAAATAGTACATCAATGTCATCAAAATATAGTACATAAAAAAAAACCACAATCACTGTGTGCCTGACAACATCTCCATCCTCTCCTCTGCCGCCTCCTCTGCCTCTACTGCCTCCTCGGTCGCCCGGTCTGTGTCCTCGGCCATCGATCCCACCTGTCCTGGCGCGATGTTTGTGGTACATAAGTGTCCCCTCTGCCACTGCAATCATCCCATCCAATATACGCCTGTGGTCAGACCCCTCAGGGAAGAAACCGGCGTCAATGTCTGTCCGCCCCATCTCCACTATTTGACGACAACGAGACAGGACATCCTGAATGTGGTCTAACTGAGACTGCTGCTCTTCTAAAATCTTTTGATGAGCTGGTCTGAGCGGTGATCCTTCTGCAATGGGCACCATGTAAGGGTGTGAGATGGTGAAGAACCACATGACGTAGCCATCAACGCAGCTCCAGTCTCTCGGCGCTTTGGTCGCCCGAGCCTCGTTCAGTACCATGTGCCTCTGATAGCCAGCATAAATCTCCTCTATCTGCATATGGGTCAACCCGAGAGGAGCAGAGATTTGGTGTATAATGTATATATTATTGAATGTTTTGTAACTTAATACTGATAATTTGTAATAAGGATATTAAACAAATAAGGAGATCTTGTCAATTAAAGTTCATCTAATCATTTTCATTTTGTGTTACTTAAATATAAATAAAAAGCATCCTTTGACCCTTCATTACTTATTCTATTCAATTCCAACACTTTTAATTCACAAATCCGAGCATGCTTTAAAAGATGCACACGCTCTCTATTTAAATAATCGAGAAAGCAACCTCCCAAACTCACTCAACTTTTTAGTTTTCTCTAAAGTTACACTCACCTTCTCGACAAAACGATTTGTAATTTTACAAAAATGCGCTTTTTGAAGATTATAGGATTGCAATAATTTGTAACTTATGCCCAAACTGCATTATAGGATTTCTTTGGACAGAACTGCGTTATAGGATTAGTTACTAGATTTCTAGTCTGTACATAGTAAGTAATATCTTGTAATCTATGTGGGAGTGGGAATTCTATGCATGATTAAATAAAAAATTGTCTGGTAAGTGGTAGTGAAATTCGAGTGATCTCATAAATGACAGTAACTTTTTCAAGTAATGAAATTGAAATTTGCTTTTAATGTTTATCCCCCGGTTATTTATATCATAAAGAATCGGCACATGAACATCCTCCACCTTTTCCATATTTTGTGTAATCTTGATATCTGGTTCAAAGTGACTGGTTTAGGCCTCATTGATTGTTTAACTATAGTTGGGTTTAAGTTTAATTAATACTTGTTTTAGAATATATGGAAAATGTTTTATTCTATTAAAGTTGTAAGTTAGAGTAATTTACAATGTTTTGGACTATATCTTAGGATTGGTTTCCATTTATTTTTTATATTTCATCATTTGTTTCCGTATTTTAATTAGGACTAAAAGAGTCTAGTATTAGTATAAGAAATGCTAGTGCTTAGTCTGTTCTATTTTGTATCTGGTATGATCACTCTTGAGCTAGCTTTTGAGGTTTAAGTTAAGCTTAGAACCCAAACTTTAAGAGTAAAAGCCATAATCACAATTCAAAGTCTTTGTTCTTTCTCTTTCCTTATTAAATTTGTAACTTAAACAGCTTGATTCAGGGGGGAGTTAATATGTTCTTGTGAATTGCTTTTGTTCATACACCTAGTTTAGTCTTTGTGATGTATAGTAATTTCTCTCATGTAGGACTGTTTTAAAAAAATGCATGGAAAAGAACTGATTTGTGACAAGCAGTTTATGATGAGTTTCTGAACTATTCGTCACAATTTGGTTCTTTTTGATGCGAGGTTCATATCACTTTTTTTTTTAACAGTCTTAATATTCAGTTAGTTTTTTTGGTTTGTTTACAGCCATAATGTCAGTCAATAATAGCAATTTGGTACAGTCCGATTCATAAAGAATCAGTTTGGTTCGAAAAGGGAGTAAAATTCAATTTTTTTGTTAAGGTAGTTCCGGTACACCAGTCTGGCTCAGGACGAACCATTAACCGTTCAGTTTTATTGAATTATTGTACGGTTCAGTGCGGTTTGGTTTGGTTTTCGTTCTCAGAACAGAATCACAAACCATCCTAGTCGCGTGTGTACTAGACATTAATGAAAACCCTTGAAGTAGATACAGTACAGGGACTAATTGTGCCAATATTAAGAGATTGAAATGGGATTTGCTATTGTGGTCTATTCTGCTTCTTATGCCAAACTCTTCCCTACACCAAAAAATCGTCCACACTTGTCATCACGAGGCAGTGTTGCAGACTTTACAGTTGATTCTTGATGGAGATGAACCTGAACTAGATTTCTGGGGGAATTGCACGGACAGGTTTTACGTGTCCTAAACTGCTAACTGGTGTATCTTACTTTGCTAACTGGTGTATCTTTAATTTAAGTGACATTTTTTATGACTTGCTATTTATCATTCTCTCAAAGGTCTTAAGATTAACCTCTCAACCGACTTTCCATTTGCAGGCTTGTATTACTCGCCGTCTTCTATTTAGATATGGACGATGAATGACACGGAGAACCTTTGAATACCTGCTACTTGTGCAGTATGACAACCTATGTGTAAGTTACTCTATAATTTCCCCCTCTATATTCTATTTTGTAGGAATCTGTGATTTTATTTTGTGGTTCTATACTATCAGATTTAACCAAAGTGGATTGTTTCTTAGAAGTGTTATAACTTGTTGGAAAAAAGAAACACATTATGAACATTTTTGCATGAACTGTAGTATTAAAAGGATAGCTTCTAATTCTTTACTATTATAATGCTTTCACTTAAAATCAAGGTGTTTGTTTTCTTTTTTCAGTGTAAGAAACTAATCTTTCATTTCTAGCACGATTGCAGAAGCTCACCAGTTCCAAGTTAAATGGCGTGAGCTCTGCGTGTTGTTTTGGTTACACGGAGATTTGTAGAATTTGTGAGAAATTTTAAGTGTTGCGAAACAGGGATTCATCTTCATGACCAAGTAGTTCCTGAAGAAACTTGTTGGCGTTTGAGCTAGTACATGTTTATTTGGATTTTACTTTTGGTCCATGATGTTTATTTGGACTTGAGGAATTGATCAACAAGTTGTATTAAAAAACACAGACATTCCGTCAAGTGTTGCGTTGTAATTCATGGTTAGATAATCTGTCCAACAAATACTTGTTAAGTAGTTTGTTAGAAATTACAATTGTCTAATTTAATTTTGGTTATTTGCATAACTTGCTAAATAATTTGCTAAACTAGTTATATTTGTTGTTAGTTGGTTGAGACATGGAAGAAACAAGCAAATTGAAAAAGGATTTCCTTTTCTAAAGGAGTAAGTAAACAATGACAAATTAAAAGTGAGGTGCAATTGGTTGATATTCTAACAAATCTATTGAAAGAGAGTTTGATGATTTGAAGAAGCATATAAGGATGAGTGAGAAGATGGTGTGTTGAGTTGTAGTTCATCTTTATATAACTTATTTAGCAAATATCATATCTGCTTAACTAGAAGTTACAATTAGTTATTTTGATGATTAAGTTAGTTTTGATATTGCTGAACAAGCTCCGACGTGCCATTCACACGGTGTGTCGCTGAGTTAGACACGTGTTTGACACGGATATGCGTACGACACATGTACAACACGTATCGGACACGTTTTTAAAGTGTCCAACACAAAAATAAATTTGAATCACAGCGGACACAGATATGACACCTTATTTTAAATAAAGGACACAGTCCAATTCAAAATTTCAGAATTAAACTAAAAATTTCAATTTAAAAAAAAAAGAATTTTTATCTTTCATATTCCACTTTTCCACTATAAGACAACACAATTAGGATTCTTTATTTTTTCATTTTCTTCTGCTGCTTGTGTCGAAAGAAATTAGAGTACATATTCATTTATCTATTCTTTGAAGAGAAGCAAGATAACATTATATTGAGCAGAAACTTTAGTATATATACATAGTAACCTTTCACTTCTATCAAGGAGCACTTCCTAATATCATCAAGAGGAAACTAAAATGTGGGATGTCGTCGGAGATGAGTTTGGATCATTAGATGACTGAGAATATTTTGAAGTTGTTGACTTGTCTTTGAATGATGCAGGTTTAGGGGTTAGTTTTCTCAATGTGGAGTAACTATGATATGATTTGTATAATTTTATTTTGGTGGATTTGTCTTTTTTTTCCGTTGATTGAAAGTATTAAGTTTAAACAAATATAAATTTTATTTTCATTTTAAACTCTTTATAAATTTTGCTCATAAATTGCATTAATATATATATATATATATATATATATATATATATATATATATATATATATATATATATATATATATATATATATATATATATATATATATATATATATATATATATATATATATATATATATATAGTTGTGTCTGTGTCTTATGTTTTTTATATTAGTGGAGTCTTTGTGTCCGTATCTTGTCTTATATCTGTGTCCGAGTTCGGACTTCATAAGTTGAGACACTTTGTATATAATTGATTTGCCATTAATCAAGCGTCATGTTAACTTGTGTTTTGAAAACGCATAAACAGTTTTTAATTTATTTATTTATTTTACATTTAATTTAGGATGTGTACTTAAAGACACATGTTACATTGTTTATTATTTAATACTAAAAGAGTTAAATTTAGAAGAGCAAATAAATAGGTTAAAGTATATAATTTAAGATGTGGACTTAAAGACACAAGTTACATTGTTTATTATTTAATACTAAAAGAGTTAAATTTAGAAGAGCAAATAAATAGGTTAAAGTATATAATTTATTAAGGACACGTCATTGATTTTTGTTCTGTATCGTGGAGTTGGAAATATGTGGGGATCTGATGGACTTAAGTTCTAATGCAGTGTTTCCACTGCAGCAGAACAAAGGTGGAGTCAATGGATGAGTGAGAAAATATTTTGCATGTGAATGAGAATATCTAGAATGATGTGTGTTGGATTTTGTATAGTATGGACGATTAGAGCACACTCCACGTGATATGACACCTTATGATAGGGGCTGTCTGATTATATTTGACGGTGGCGAGCACTCTTAGTCATTGATGCCTTAGCATGCACGTTCTTAGACTAAGCCTCATCGCGATTAGGCTTTAACTCCTTTGGGCCGGCGGTTGGCCTGAAACAATTACCCCTAAAGTTTGTCATTGTATAGAAATGAAGAGACTTTTGAAAGTATCAGGTTGTTGTCCCATTCGATTGTGGTCTTCTTGACATATTCATATCTTGGAGAAATGGAAAGGCTTAGAGAGTGGGAGTAGGTGACCTTCACGCATTAAATGCGAGTCTCGTCACTAAAACATTTTACATGGATAATTTTTCACGTTGATTCGCCTCCCCCGCTGCATTATATAAATGCATTTGCTCTTCTCTGGTTACGTTTCACCTTTTGTGCAATCTTTCTTTTCTTTCTTTGCCAACTTTGATCATTGTTGAATGCCAAACATGCTTTAAATTGATCCATATTATTGGCATTTTTCATCTCTTTTGTTATGCTTTATTGGATTTACTCCATGATATCATGTTATTCTTCAATATTATTGAAAATACCTTAGGTTGCTTTGATTTGTGTGTTATTGTGCAGAAATTAGGCATAAAAACATCAAAGAGTAAGACACAAGTAATTGGACAAGGAAGCCAAAGGAAAAGAAGAGATTCAACATGTTTGCTGGGCGAACAGCCAACGAGGAGTAGCAGCGAATGTTTGCTGGGCGAGTTCATGGCGAAGCCCTAGCGAACCCTCTCAATATAGAGGCAGAAAGAAAATGGCACTAAGTTTGCTGGGCGAACTGGTAGTGAATATTCGTTGGGTGAGGTTGCAGCGAAGGACCATCGAAGCATCCCAGGTTTGAGGCAGTAGCTAAAGGACCATAAGTTCGTTGTGCGAACTTGTAGCGAGGTAGTTCGCAGGACGATGAATTGCTCGCGCAACGAACTTCAAATATTTCTCAGGGGCGATTTAACTGTTCAGAGGCACTTCAGGTGCCTAAAATGGAGTTCGTTTGGCGAAGAAAGGAGTTCGCTGGGCAAACCAGATAGATTCTAAAAGTACTATATAAGTACTTTTCACACTTTTTTTAAGGAAAATAACCCCATTTTTCACGTAGAAACTTCATTTATCAGTTTTTCTTCACCAAAAGGTGATATTTTGCAAATATAAGTTGAATTCGCATCCGAGTTCGATTCTTCGATGTGGATGCTCATTCATCCTCTTTCATTACTTGTAAAGCAAGCTACCATGGTTATGGGTAGCTAATTTCATTTGTATCAAAGGTAGAGGTAGTCTACCATTAACTTTATGTATTTCTTTTGATTGACCTTGTATGTGAACAAGTGATGATTAATATATGATGAATATTTTTGTTCTTAATGATCCATTATTGTTTTGTAAAACTCTAGACATAGATTTTGTGAAACTTGACCTAAAATATTCATCTATCGATTTATAGATTGGGGAAATCGGTCTATGGTTGATAATTGCTTTGTGTTGAACTTAAAACTTACTATATTGGTTGTTATATGGAGAAATCGTGTAGTGATGAATACAATATTTCTCACAACGCTGCTCTAGAGATATACGATGTTGAGAGAATACGCGACGATATTAATCGGATCCAACTTCACATGCAAGATTGAAAGAATACATATAAGTTAGGATAAATGAAAACTACTTTTGATATACTTTTTTAATCACACTCTTTAGAATTTATAAGCTTTGCTACTAAAAACATGACAAGTTATGAAAAAAACTTTGAAAACTCTTTTTCTTGAAACAATAAACTGTTAAACGACAAGCATCAAGATATCTACAATTCTTGTGGAGCCAATAACAAAACCTCCTTTTAACTACGACTCGAACAATCATCCTTCCCTAAACTCCGATGGCAACTTGTTTTAAATGTTTGCATTTCCTTTACAAATTTCACAACTCCTTTGGTTCCTCACGCTTCGAGCGATTTTCATTGAAACTTCAGCTTTACATCTTTAATCTTCTTCAGGTAATATTTTTCTCCCTTATTTTTACTGTAATTACTTCATGGTCTTTCTTTTAGCAATGGCTATCTAGGACATAAACCTACAAATATTACATACATACCCAACGGGGATGATATAAGTCATGCTTTATCTTACACAAGGGTTATATACCAAAAAGTTATGGGCATTGTTCCTTTGATAGGTACTCTCCCTTTAACAAACCTTACACTCCTTAATGACAATTTTGAGTCTAGGGGAGGGATATATCCAAAGTGGTTGTGAACCCATAAATCTCCATTTTGGTGGAACCGCAAATAATTTCTCAGGAGGAGTTAGAGGGGTAAACCTAGATCTTGCTCTTAGTGGAGATGCCAGTCTTAGTTCCATTCTCATGTGTTTCCTGTGGAAGATCCTAAGTCTCTTGAATCATATCAGGATGATCATAGGGCTCGCTCTTTCATTAGGGTTTTTAGGTTTTTTTATTTCTTTTGACTTGTGATACCACCAGTTGTGAAACTGTCCATAACTTAATG